CTGGTTTGAAAGTAGATGCTTTGAACATTATTTGCCTTTTTCCCCCATATTTGGGAGTTCTGTGCTTTGCTTTCTATCTGATGGCTAATACCCACTGGATAAAATGGCTTGGCTTGCCCAGAACTGAGGACAAGCAACCAGCATGTGTCAGACCTTGAGTGCTTTGTACCCTGCCCTCTCCTGATGGTAAACTAGTGAGATCTCACAAGCTTTAATATCCTCTCTCTTGGAGCTTGGGTTCTCAGCTCCCAGCTTGACCAGGCCACCTCTGACAGTCTGGTTTCTCAAGCTTTAGCGTGGCTGTAAGCAAATGCTGAGATTTTCAGTGCAGTCTCAGGATTTTCAGCCAAGAAAATCCCAGAAAAGAAAATTTGTGAACTTCCTGTGCTACCTTTTTTCCTTCTCACTTTCTTGACATCTACTTTCCTGTTTGTCTCGCTCCTGAATGGCAGAGGAGGAACGTAGTGGTTGGGGTTTGGTTTTTTTTGTTTTGTTTTGGTCAGTCTCTTGCCAATATTAATGAAAATGTCTGGATTTACAGAGTAAGTAAGCACAGGAGTCACAGACTTTATACTAATTTTAAAAAATAAGTATCAGAGGAAAAAAAGTGCATTTGAAACCAATCATGTTGCCTCTCAGCATAATGTTACTTCCAAACTGAAACTCCATATTAAAGGAAGAGGAGCACTCAGCACTTTCCAAGGAGAGTTTTTTCTGTATGTTGTTTCTTTGTGATGCTGCTGCATTTCTGCTTTGCGTGGCTCTTTTCATGCCTTTTAGCAAAAAGGTTAGGATCTCTCCCTTCACCTCCTTTTCCATATTTAGAGTATATAGCTACAGCCTGCTCCTTTCTATCCTATATATATATATTCTTACAACTTGCAGGTTTTTTCCTTTCTGGTCTTCTAAAGGAAACAGCAGGTCTTTGCAATAAGGTTTTCCAGAGCTCTTCACCTATTTCAGTGGCTGTGAACAGGCAAGGAACAAGTGATGTGTCCATTCCCCTCTACCCAGGTTCCCTCTCTCCTTCCTACCCTTCCTGCAGCTTGGTCAAACTACCTGTTGACTTTTCTGGGTTGATGCCAATAGCCAAAGGAGTATTTTCTTGCAAAGCAGAAGCCACTTGTGATAGAAATGTCTCCTGAAATCTGGGTAAAGCAGCTGCCTTGGGAGCATTAGTGCTGCAGCGTAAAGGTCAGCGCACCTCCAGCAAGTGTATCAGAAGTAATAAACCTGGTCAGATGCCCGCAGGGCTCCGACTCAGCGCCGGTAAAGACCTCTTATGCAGTGAGCAAGTGAGCAAATGACGTACAGCAAAAGCCCTCGGTAAAGGTGATGGTGTACGGTGACCTGCTCCCAAAGCACAGACCGCTTGTGCTCCTTGATGGACTTCCCTCCAAGGGTATGACTTAAACACTGAGCCCCGCTCCTTTACTACATTGCCTTGGGTGAAACAGTTACCTCAACCCAGGCTGGAGAGCAAGTATTTCGCAGGGCACGTTTCCTCTGAAGAACATTCTTGCCTTTTGTATCATCAGGACATGCCCCTGCTCAGAGGGAAGGAGGAGCTCTGCCATGATCAAGCTATCTATCTCATCCATCCTGCGCCAAATCCATCCAGACTGGCCCTTCCCTAATTAGGGCAGCAGTCACTCGAAACACCTTCACCACGGATGACCTCACTGCTGCCTTCTCACTGCTGGGCCTCCCTGCACAGTGCCTCGCCATCCTGGCGGCAGTGGCCAAGCCTGTCCTCCTCCAGCTGAAGAGACCAGCCTTGTCTTCACTTGCTCCCTAGCTTAACTTTCCCTCAAAACAGAAATGTCAGACATTAATTAACTTGTAGAGTGAATGAGTTGACTGATTATTAAAGAAAAAAAACCCCTCACATGGCTCATAGATGGTCTGCATGTGCCTCCATTCCCCCACAGCCTCTGCATGTGCCCAGGAGAGGAACTGGAGTGATGCTCTTGGAAGAATGCTCAGGACATGGCATTTTGGGGGCTGAAGATGGCCACTGAAGTGATGAGGACTGAGTTTTAAGTTGAGGAGAGCTGCGGGAGATGTTTAGGTGCCTTGGTACAATAGGAATGCAAGGGAACTGCACACTGGTGGAGATGGAGAGGAGCTACACAGCAGAGGCAGGAGGACTGTCATATTCTCAGGGCTGGAGGGCCGTTGGGAATATAGAGCTGTGGGTCACCAGGATGAGCCTTGGACCAAAGAGGATTTTGGGTGGTTGGAAAGAAGATGACTCTGGGTACAGGAGTGCATTGGAGACAGAAGAGTGCTTGAGGTGACATTTGGTCAGTGGCTGGGTGGAGGTGGTAGGAGTCAACTGAGGCAGTACAGGGTGCATAATTGCCTTGGTTGTCTCCTTCACAGTTTCCCCTTGTTTCTTATCAGAGATGAGAACATAGGGAAGAGGCTGGGTGGCCTCAGAGGTACTCCTTGTAGGAGAGGAACACATTCCTGCCTGTTTTTACTAGGCTCTTGTCCTAGCCCCACTGCCCACCTTTCTAGCTTGTATCACTCTTTGCAAAGTTAGTCAATAACCGTGATGAAGATAAGAAATCAGGACCCTTGTGCAAAGGGAAGGCGGTTAATGAAGAAGGGGCTATCACAGCTTCAGAGTTTGCTGTCTGACAACAGGGACAAGCTACCACTGCTGAAAACATGCTCAAGTGCAAAGGCCTCAGCCAGTAGTTGATTGTATCCCAAAGCAGTTTCCCCTTCTGGAGTACGCTAAGCTTGAAGAGAAACACCTATGGACTGTTCTTGCTTGGGAAAGTCTGAGCACTCAAGAGCCATGAACGGAGGTTGGTTACACCAATGTGGTGGTGTGCAACTCCAGTGTTGTACTTCCCCTCTAAAGCACCTGGGTACTCAGGGGATAGCATTGCTGACATCTTTACTATGATGAATAGCAGCTGGCTTCTCTAGGGGTGTCATAGCAAGATCCCTTTTCGCCCATGACCAAAGGGGAAAAAATAACCATATTTGGATGACTGAAGTTACAGGCATCTTGGGTCTGATATGTGAGAGAACTTAACACTGTCAGTAATTACCTAGAATTCTCTAATCTTAAGCAGCCAATCAGATGAAAGAATTGTTTCATACTAGAAACTGCTAAAGGAAATCACAAACAAATGAGCCCACACAGGTAATATTTTCAATTTATTTATATAAACAACTGCATTTTAAAAACATTCTTGTCCTACAAAAATAAAGTGAAAAACAATTCACAGAATTTTAAATAAATAATCTCAAACATACACATTTATCATGAGCAACTTGAACCCAGCCAAACCCAGCAGGTTGGGTAACAGGTAAGTGACTGTTGAAATGTGGCTGCAGAGTACAAAATGCAGAGTGAACAGGATTCCTTTCTGAAGTGGCTTATAACTCAACTCAAATGACATGGTCTGAGGAATTCCTCTTTACCTACCCCAAAACAACTAGATCTGTCCAGACTTGTTTCCCTTTGACTCTAAGCCAAACACTTTTCTTTGTTAATGGCAGAAGGGTGCTCTGAAGAAGTGCGTTCCAAAGATGGATCTGAATGACAATTATATGTTTAACAAGCGTCCAAGCAGTTTTCACTTATTATCATATACAGTACAAGGTTATTGAAGTATCTCCGTTCTTCATGTTTCAAATAGAAAAAGGAAAACAAATGCCCTTCTTTAGACCGAAGCATTCATACCAAAGACCACCTCAAATCAATCACTGGCATTGATCACTACAGGAGATCTCGATTCAGCTATTCACACTAACAATTACAAACTTACACAGCATAAGGTAATTGACATCTCTAAACAAATCAAAAGAAAAAGAAGTCACAGTCAAACTATACTGCTGCCATAGCTGTTACAATGCATGACCCTCTACAAATGTTTGAGAGATTCAGATGAAATAGAAAACTCAAGTCCTTTTCCACAAGTAGTCAAGGAATTTTGGGCAGGGACACGGAATATCAGCTTGCTGCTCTATTCCAGTCTGAAGTGACTTTCTTTTTACCTATAGTTCCCCAGCTGTTTTTATGGGAAGATCATCTTCTACATTTCCTCTCTAGAAATTAAAAAAAGATACCCTTGTATGCAAAGTTTGAAGTACTGGTACAAGATCCTGTGTAACTTCTTATGTGCCCAGATGAGACTAGATATTTTAGTGCTGGATCAGGACAAATATGTCTAGGAGATTTTGTGCTAGCTAGCCAGTTTTAATTAAGCTTAAGCCACTTACTCAAAATGCCTCTGTTTATAAGTTATAAACAAAACATTATCCCTCTTCCCCACAATAAATAGGACTAAATCACAAGTATGGCTTGCATACATAGACATAAGCTACCTTCAAGTCTTGGTGCCTTGAAGTTTTGCTAGATCCATTCTGTATTTGTTTCTCTGCTGTATATGTTTACACACCTTCTCAGTTTTCACTATCCCCCAATAACATCTGTTTTGGGTACACAAAGCTATACTACAGTCACATCCTTAACTAAAGCTATACCACCCATTTGTCCTTAAAAAGACAGAGATTAAAGTTATATATTCAATTAGACCAGAGAACTACAGCTATGAAAATACCAATACTTTGGACTAAGTTAAAGACCTCCCCAAACTTGCACAATAAAACATCTGTATCAAAATACAAGCAGCCTTGTATTGCAGCCTGAGAGTCAGTCATTTCTAAGCTCAGTACCTTATCATCCTCTTACACAAATAATACTTCTGCAACATATGCTTCAAAAACAAGTAGGATCCAAGAGATATTCTATTTTCTTTAAAATAATTAAATTTAAAAAAAAGTGTAATGCCACATGAAAGTAGATTTACACATAAAAACAAACATATAAGTTACTATACAAAGTGCCTTATTTGCAATAAGGGAGAGGTAGTATCAACAATAAATGCAATGCATTTTCTGACTTAACATAAATAAGTGAGTGTCAAGTATATGTACTTTCTGTTAATCTTGGAGTGCTCATACTGAATTCATAATCTTTTCTGGCAGTTTTCATTACGTCAAATTTTTCTTGTACTTTTAGTTCAATGGTCTGCTTTCAAGTTTAAGAAGTTGCTGAGGCAATAACCAATTTTGTAGTGTTATGTGACCTATCAAGTGAAAAGACAAAAACCCACCAACACCCTTTGTCAAGTATTAAAACAACATTAAAAAAAGTTGGAACTTCTGTCCACTTTGGAATACATAGTTCTGTTACAGAAGATTTTAAACAAGGGATTCACCACTGTAGAGCTCCAACACAGAAAATCCCTTTCTTAAATGGAAGCCTTACTTGAGTAAGGAATCTAGGGCAACCCCCACAAAGAAGATGCTCAAGTTTTTTTTGTTTTTAAACACTTTAAGCCATAAATAGAATAAATTATATAGTTAAATAAATAGATGGATTTTTACAACTCAGCAGATCGCTCTTTCAGTAGTAGTGTGGGGTTGATATCTTCCATTGCTGTTTTTGAGGTACTAACATTAATAGTTGCCTCTGTGGGTTCTGGATTTAAGATGTGGAAAGCAGTGAAAGGACAGCCTTTCACGTTGTTGCAGATGAGCTTCTGTAAGGAGGCAGTATTGATTATTTCAAAGCCCACTTTTCCACCAAAGGTGCTAGGCTTCCAGTACTCAGGGGAGCAGATAGCATTTCCCATCAGTCCTTTCAGAGAGAATGGTGCTCCAATCTCCACCATTGTTTCACCAAAGATTGCACCTGGTCGTGGCTTTTCTACAAGAAGGCCTGGGTACAGCTCCATAGCATCAATGTCGCCATAAAGCTCTTCCAGTTCAGCTGCCATTTCTTTTTCTCCTGTAATTATTGATGAGAAAAGCCATAAGTAAAAAAATCCTATTTTCATTGCAAGACTATCTTGTTCAAGTTCAGTAATAGCACTGCAGGACTCTGTCAGCCATTTTAATAAAAAGGCCCTTGTTTGTCAGAAAGGATGAAAACTGTTACCTGTAAGTTCTTCAAATGATTTGAATGGTTTCAACATGAAGCGTTTCCTGTATTCATTCAAGGACTGGTATCTCATTTGTCTGCTTTGGTCAATTGAAGCCTTTGCTACTTTCTGTACTGCAGCAGGAAAGTTTTTCCCACCAGCGACCTATTTAAGAGATGAAAAGTAATAAGATCTCCCAATAAGAGTCATGAGGAAGTTGTAACTTTATAGTATATGATTAGTTTTGGATAGCTTTATTCTACCCACAGTTTATGTCTCTGTTGGTTCACTAGCAACTTGAGAAAGTACCTACCCTGCCAGCACTTTGCTTGGAGAAAGACTTCACCATATGGGAAAGGCCATGTTCCAGCATTATAGAGTTGTTGTAGAGGAACTGCTGGAAAGTGTACTCCTGGTCATGTATCTGGAAAGTGTCAGGCAGAAGTGGGTGCCAGTGGTAAAGAGTATTGAATTCAGCTGCAATTCTGTTCTGGTATTGAAATCGCTGGCTGAACAGCAGCTCAGGATCGAACTTGAGTTTGAAGTGGTAGCCACTCAAGTGCTGCACATAGTCCTCAATAACTATCTTGATTGTCTCTCCTATTGGTCAAAGAAACAGAAGACAATATTGGTACTGGTTCCCTGAGAAGTTTTAGGTGGTTACCCTGCTGAGAGAAAACACCATTTCTGAACTGTTCAAAAAAAAATACTGTAGTGATCAGGATAAAAAACACTTCAACATTCTGTAATCTTTTCTAGAAAATAATTGATGTATTTGATGTGACTAAGGGGTGGAACAGTACTTAAGATCCCAAGAGTTTTTGGCTGTGGAAAAGTAGCCTGCTTCCCCCCTGCCCCAAGATATGCTTCCTTGTATGTACCACAGAACAGCACACGTGAGTATCTACATTGTGTGCAGCTATACCATATTCTTTAGGATAAAGGGAGGGGATAATGAAGAAAGTTAGTATCTGAAAGCAACTCTCAGCTTCTGAGCTGCTTAATACAATTGTCTTGGTTTACTGTTTCAGTCAGTTTGGGCAAGGTCTTTTCAAGCTTAGCGTACATCACCATTTACATAAGACAAAATGAACAGACAATTAGACAGAAGTATTTAGAATTACATTTTATATAACTTCCTGAACTTTAGACTTAATCACAGCCTTTCTTTTAAAGCATACCTGAACTGACCCAACCCCAGGAGAAAAAACCCATAAAAAACCCCACAAGATCCGAGAGTCTGAAGTCATCTTGCCTCACATGCTTTCTCTCCGAGAGATGAACCTTGGCTTCCTGCCTTTTCATTGCTTTCAGTTCTGTTTCCCTTAGATGAGGGAATTAAGTATCACTTAGCTCAGTTTTCTTCAGTTCTGCCTTTAACATAGCTGGGAGGAAGCTGTATCTCAATACAATCCCAGTGACAGGTCATGAAGGCTCAAAGTGCCCTCACACACCAACTTAAGTAACAGCTTTCCCTCTTACTACACCTACTGCAGCTGCAGTAGATAATGGGTAGAAGTGTCAAGCTCACGAGAAGGTTAGAGTTGCACGTAGTAGGAGTGACACTCACCTATCAATATGAGCCTACTAGTTTGGAACAGCTGCTCATCATCCCACTCTGGATGCTCCTGTTTCAGGATGTCACAGACCCGGTTGTGTTCCCTCAGCCATATTGTAGCATACATCATCAAGCCTGGGACCAAACCGAACACCTCCTGCCCAACAGAAAACTGCAGGTGTTCAGGTACATGAGGAGGGTAGATCATATCTGCCTGAGTGTCCTTCACTGTTGGTGGATACATTTCTCCATCGATCATCTGCAAGGGGGAGGGAGAAAGAACAAAGAGTTGTAAGCTATGATGCTTACGAGTTAAGCTATATTGACTGTGTCTGACTTTAGGCTTACACTTTAGATCAACTACACCACGCACAGAGCACTAGTTTTAGGAAGTATGTGTCATCCAATAAGAAGGCAGGAGTTTTGAGATAAGACATACCTGGTATTTTAGCTTTCCATCCTTTAGAAGTCTCAGTTTAAGTTGTCTCTCCAAAGTCTCTCCGTAAATATGGTTCAAGTCAACCTATAAAATAAAAGCATTTGGAACGTGAAGCCAACCCACATTTTTTGCTATTTTAGGATATGTCCCATTTCTATGGATGGCAACAGGAGTTCATCCCTTAGATGTTTACTTTTTAATTATATTATTATTACCTTGTAAGTATCACACACTGATATTTAAGATGAAGCCAAATTATTTCCTGGCAACTGGAGCCATCTCTGCAGGAGAGCAAGTTGTTAAATTGACTAGCAATTTAAAAGGACTCTGTTTAAAGTGTCAGCAGCTTTCTACTACGCAGACAGCTCTTTGTATATACACACAGATTTTATAGCTTTGTTTTAGACATACACATTACACTTATATTGAAGAACTTTGTCCAAAGGCTGCCTGTTTTGTAGATAAAGATACTAAATCCAAGTCTGCTTTTGAAGTTCTTTTTAAACTAAGTCTCTTCAATTAGCAGCCCACAAGATACTTTACAGTGCTGGATACAGCTCTTTGCAACTGACAGAAAGAGTCCAGAGAAGTTCTGGATACTCACTAGATCTAACATGCTTTAAGTGAAAGCAGATTCTTGGTAATAATAAAAAAAGTCAGAGATCACTGTGCAGGTGTTTTAAATAGAACCATGTGCCTTGCACAAGCAGTTCTGACCCAGGCAGAGATGCTATCAAGTGCTAGAATTTTGCCTAAGGAGAAGATACAGAAGGGGTAAGCCCATCAGTTTGTGGCAAACAGCCTTGTACAGTATGTGCACCAGTGTTTGCATACCCTGACAACCTGTAAGATACCATTCTAGCTGCTCAGTAGCGCCTAAGAACTAAGTGCTGTGTTCAAGTTAGACCTATGATCGTACCCCATGGCCGAGAGCTTTGGTGAAGCCAGGTCCTTTCTTGTGGTCCGTCTTAAAGAACTGATGAGTGAAGTGTTGGGCAAAGAATGTGAACATCACATTTGTGCCTTGTGGGTCAGGAATAAATTTTTTCCTTAGCAAAAACTTCTCCACAATCAGCTTGGAATCTGGGAGCTCTTTCTTACCTGTGAGAGAAAGAAACAGCGAGATATTCAAGACAACTATGTTTATGCAATACTTAGTTTCGATCCTAACAACACAAAGGCTTAAGACTTTCAATGTATTACTAAGGATAGCAGCATACAAATAAAGGGAATGATCCGCTTTTCTATGCTCACTTTCTTGATTTTATTCGAAACTTAAATTCCCTTTTTAGCATGTAACTCAATAACAAGAACCAGAATACTTGTCTTCTCGGTCTTTACACCGTGTATTGAAAACATGGCTATTCAAGTTAACTAAAGCAAAACCAGGTTATAGACAAGCAGGTCTCATGGTATTTTCTAAGAAGACAAGTAGAAATTCCTAGAAATGAGCATTATGCATCTGGTTTATTCCTTACCTTTAACACCCATCGGTGTTGGGCAGTCAAGTCCTACTGGTGGAAGGCTTCTTGTATAATAGGAAAGATTGGAATAAGCTTCCCAGCTTTTGTAACTATAATCACTATTGTAAGTTGGTGGGCTGTCAATCAAGTGTGATCTTGCTGAAAAGGAAAGAAGTATTTAATTTTTATTTTTTTTAACTGTACATTTTAGTCTCAAAAAAATAAATCACAAGGTCAGATCTTTTCCCTGTATTTTGGCAGCAGTTGCATTGACAAATTCCACATATATCAGCTACTGATGTTATTCAGTAGATGTAATCCCATTTAACAGGATTGGGTCCTGGATTATCAGCTGGATCCAACTATTAACATGAGCAATTTGGTGCAAAGGTTATGCTAGCAAAATCATGGATTCTACTAGAGATCAAAGCAAAATGCATTTCCATTTCAAAGCATGTTTCATACAAGTCCACATCATGTGGAAATCTTAAATTTTGGCTAGAATGTTTTTACCTTAGTGCATTTTAGATTGCTAACTTTATATACGGACCAATCAAGTACAATATTCTAGAGTCCTACAAGCACCTTCTGCCAGTCAAGAGGACTAGATGAGAGAAGTCTTACTTACACATTAATACATATCTCATAATAGCATCTCGTAAGAAGGGAATATTGTTGATGATACTCCAGGCTGCTTCAAAGTGGGTGAGGATGTAGTGGACAGTATTCGGCGAAGGTTTCAATGTCAGCCTCAGCCATGTGAAAAACTCCGCTGTGAACATCAGTGGAAAGATTATTGTAATTTAGCTATTGAGAATAATCTACAATCCTGGAATTGAATTCTCAGATTTCGTTTCCATGAAAAGAGACTTAAGATACTTACGTGTTGTACAGTTTTCTCCATAATATCCTGTCCGCGTACAGTCGCATTCATACTGATCAAATCCTGTTGTCATGCATACTCCTCTGTTCTGACAGGGGTTTGAACAGCAAGGGTTGGCTAGAATGAAACCAAATGCTCCGATTAGCATCTTATACGGCTACACTGGTATTCTCATCTTGCTAAGCTAACTTTTCAAACTTCGGTAAGCAATACCCTGAAGTCTAATGCTTATCAGGAAGACAACAGAGAGTGAGCATCTATTCACGCTAGCCTTTGGTCTACAACAGGTAGTACTTATTAGCAAAAGCACAGGACTTTGTCTGCATTTCCTGACAGCAACAGACCTCCTCAGGAGGGCTGGATTATCTCACACAGGCCAAGGGAGGCCTGACATCCTTTCTACCACACATCAAGTATTCCAGAAATCACAGGAGACCATACAGAACATCAGAAAAAAAGAATAATAAAATTAATCCATTCCGCAGCTCAAAAGAACAGAAAAGAAATCCCCATCCATGGTCTGAAGCACCGTCCACCCGCGGCCGGACCCGCTCCTGCCCCCGGGAGAGGACGAGACGGAACGGGACGGGACTCACCTGCGTGGCCAGCAGCCAGGAGAGCGGCCACCAGAGCGCAGGGCAGAAGCATATCCCGGCGGGGCTGGGGCTGCGGCGGGGCTCTCGCTGCGGCTCAGGCTCTGCGGGTGCTCGGCGCCGAGAACCCAGTGCCGCTCCCAGGTAGGCGCCCGCCTATTTATTCCTGGCGCCGCGAATGAGTCACCCCCTCTCCGCCCGCCCGCCGGAAACTATCACGAAATTGGGGATTTCGCGCCGCTGCGCGCCGTCCCG